AATTTTACATAATATATATATATATATATATATATATATATATTAATGAACGTAATATATATGTTGTGTCCACCTATTAGTTGCACTAGTAAATACATGTATATCCACACCCACTTAACCAGAATTTGAAATTTGCGGCAGAAGATACTATAGCTACACGTTCTTAGCGATCAAATATAGCAGACTTAGTAATTACATGTGGCATTATCCATAAATTTGGTTGATCTCTGACAGGTATCCAAAGATATCCAATTTGAAGTTCTCCGTGGCCTTTCCAATGCATTACTTGCTGCCAAAAAGCCAGAGGAGGTTTGTTGTCATGATGGTGGATTCTTACAAAGTTACAATGAATATTGAATATGCTGCACAAATTAAATCTATTAATTTGCTTGATGATGATTAATTTGTACTTGTTCTTCTACAAAGTACAAACCAGTACACTTTTTCATGCTGGTTTTGGGGATAGTTACTGTCTGTCCATCGAAGATAACTAATTTCACACTTGGAACTTTCTGGAGTACTGGGTCAAAATATAGGTTGATTGCTTTCACGTTAGTTTTTTGTTCCTTATTCCTTAGATCAATGATTTGCACATAAACATTAATTTGTTTAATGCATTGGAAAGATAAGTCCTTAGTCCTTATATGTCAATAAACATTGATTATGCTTTGTAAAAATATACAGGAATTCCTCTATGTGCGATGTCAATTGACATTTTCTGTAACTTTTTTTCTTCTTCAAGATGAGAAGTTTGATTGCTTTTTATCAAGAGTAGAGAATTATTTTCCCTAGGAGGAACATCCCTTCCCAAAGAAAAAATGTGTAGTTGTTTATCTGACCTTATGCTTTAGTGTACAGTGCCCCAGTTTCATGATGTGACCATTCTGGTTCAAATGCCTTTTGTTCCTCGGGTTTGTGGAGATGTTTTTTTTTGATTCATTCTGTTTTCACCAATAATGACATATATACCACTTTATTTTCATTTTGTTTCTTCTTTTCAAAGATTTGCACAAAAGATTATCAAAACAACATTTTATTTTTTCACTTTTGTATTTCCTAATAATCACAAAAGTGCTATCTTGTTTTTCCTTTTTATTCGACAACTCAATTCATTTATCCACTAGTCATCCTATCTATCCATATATAAATCCAACCAATCCATCCGATTATAAAGATAATCATTAATGGATTGGTTGGATTGAATCACCATTTGTTATTGCATTGATAACGGCCATCCAACATAATTTTGTAATCCATTATGTTAAGTAGTCTGAAGTTCATTGGTTGAGCATGGGTTTTTTAAGGGACGGATCTTGGACTATATTATGTTTGGGACCTTGTATACAAGAATTTTGCACTTTATTTTATAAAATTTTAAAATTAAATATAACATACTCTAAATGGGTTGGATATCCATAAAAATGGTTAATGGATGGGTTGGATGGTTTTAAAATGAGTCATGATGTATTGATTTTTTTTGTAATGCATTTTTAAGGGATCATAATTCGATGCAACATATACCCAATCCATTCGTTTGAAACCCTAACTCAACACAAAATTTTGTTGAGTCACGGTTGGACTATATTTACACAAATGTTGTTTTTGCCATTTTCTGTACATACCTTTAAAAAGAAAATATAGTGCAATATTTTAATTATTAAAGAAATCATAAAATGGAACCAAAAAATGTTTCTTTAAAGCAAACATTATATTGTGCAAAAATACGGTGGTTTTCATTTGGACACCTTGTGGTTCTGGTGTATGTTGAATTAATTAACATTTTATTTTTCTATTATTTATTCAACAGGCTGTTCAATTACTTTTGGCCTATCGCGAGAATTCAAGTTCTGAAAACTTGAGCAAAAATTCTGATAGCAAACCTTCAGATTCACAGAATCTGGATCCGGTCCAAGTAAATTCCACTGTTCTAGCTTGAGATATTTATTTCCTTATTTCCATTTCTTTACAGATTTATTTCAGAAGTATTTCTTGTATTTAGTTTCCTTTATTAGTTTATTTCTATAATTAGGACAGCAACTCAGCATATTTTTTTCAGCTAAATACTATGTTAGAATTAATTAGTCGGCTGTATTTTCGTAATCTCCCTCCCTTTACAAAAGTAATAAGAATTAATATTCAGTTATTTACTTATTTCAAGTTGGTATTACACTTGTCAGAGCTCCCCCACCTGGGTACTTCGCTTCTGTGAACCCTAAGCCACATTTATTCATGCAATTCTCAGGTTGAATTACTTCTAGGGAAAGCCTACTCAGATTGGGGCCATGTCAGTGATGCTGTAGCTGTTTATGATCAGCTCATATCTACTCACCCTAATGATTTTCGTGGATACTTGGCTAAGGTTTCTAATTTCCCTCATTTAATTACTAAATGCTCATTTTTGTTCATTATAAATCTAATTGAAGAAATAATTAGCAAGCATTATGGAAAATACATATGGTTGTCGAGTTTATTATTTACTAACTCTTAGTTTTTCTATTTGTTACCTTTTTTTGGGATTTGTGTGCAAGCAAATTCCTTTCTTTTAACTAGGCCATTAAATCATGATAGGTAACAAATGCTAACATTGCAAAAGTGATGTGGATTTTGTTTTTCAAAAACATGTTTATAAAATATGTTCTAGGGCCCGTTGGATAAATCTTTCTAGACACACTTTTAGGAGAGAAAAATAGGGAAAAGAAAAAAAATAGATATAAGCTTCTCCATAAGTAAAATTAGCTGATTCATGAGTTAATATTTTTTTTTTGGAGAAGTTAATAGGGGAGAAATTTTACAAATTAGCGTATGCATAAGAGCATCTCCAATGTTAGGTTCTTATCCGGTTATTAAGTTTAAGTTCTCATTGCTTATAAGAAATCTACATTGGAGCATGCTGACATGGCAGGTCAAATTGCTAAAATTTAAGTACCGTTGCTTATATAAGAGACGGTTGCTTAAGAATAAAAAGATAATTTAATATTTCTTTCCTTCACTGATGTCAACAATTATAATAATTAAATTTTTTAAAATTTATTAAAAATGAAGTATGAGTGATTAAAAAGTGGAGGTACTTATAAGCAACTTTTATTAGAGTAAAAATTATAAAAATGTAATATAAGTTGCTTATGAGTGACATGACAGTGTAAGATCCATTTAAAGTGGATGAAAGTTGCTTATAAACAACTTCATTGTAGATGCTCTAAGTTAATTTTAGCAAGCGTAGAAACTTATTTAATTTTTCTCCTTGTTTTTCTCTCTTAGAATTACTTTTGGTGAAATTTACCCTAACAAATCTTTAATACATAATTAAGTTTAATTTATATACGATTTTACACAAACATTCAATAAGAATTCATCCTATGCCCACATCATATTAATGAATAGAATGATATGGTAAAAAGTAAAATGATTATTGAGTGTTTGTAAAAAAAATTTACACTAGCATATAAATTAAATTCTAAAGATATTGGGCCAAATAGACTAAAATACGCAAATCTTCTAGTTAGACAAGGAAGCATCTTTCAAAAATCCTTGTGCTCATCTAGGGGAGGCATTAAGAAAAACAAAAATCTGATTTTTTTTTTAATAAATAATCTAAATTGTTTTGAATTTTGTTTTATAGGATAAATTTTGAAAAGAAAAAAAAATGACCAAACAAGGACAATTAAAACCCATCAATTGATTGTGTAATTATACTTAAAAGACAAGATAATGTAACTTTCTTTAATCTCCTAGTGAACTGAATTCTAATGCGATAAGCCACACCTGCTTGGCAACATTCATAATTTCATATTGCGTTGTCACTAAGATTTAATTCGGCAGTATATTTAGATGGCCCCTAAATTGAGTGTCTCAAGTCAGTTATGCTCTGAATCAAAATCCCATTTTTATACTTCAAATTTGTTTTGAATATATATTAACACAATCTTATTTTAGAACTTGCCAGTTAACGCAATGACTTTTATGCTTCTCTACCATTTTTTCCCCCAGATAATTTGATATTACATTTCTGTCATCAATTATGCTATTTTGGTACAAAAGACATGTATTGAAAGAAGCTACTTAATCAAATAAAACTTCCTTTCATTTTTCAAGGGAATCATCCTGAAAGAAAACAAAAATATTGGTGATGCAGAAAGGATGTTCATACAAGTAAGTTTATGAATCATTACTAGTTAATGAATGATTGATATATCGTACACAATTTCTTAACACTGATCACCTTTTTGTGCAGGCTAGGTTCTTTGCGCCAGATAAAGCAAAAGCACTTGTGGACCGTTATTCAAGATGACAATTTGTATCCAAATTAATCGTGAAGGTATGTTCTGTAAGGAAAATATAACAAAGCAATTAACTAGGTGACAAAAACACTTGTTTAATAAATATTGCAGATTCACGCAAAAAATCAATGATTTCTCTGATGTTTTAAAGAAGTCATAAACATTTAGGGAAATTCACAAAATACTAAGCATATAGAACATTTCATAGTTTAATATTTAACTCTGCAATAAGTTAGTCTTTGACCCTTTCTTTTGTTCGTGTTCCACGATTCTTCAAAAATTAACCTTAATTGCGGCCTCTCCACAATTTCTGAAACCATTGATTCAGTTGTTGCATCCTCGACAGTGGATTTTTTGGCATTGCCTCGGTGTCATCTGCTATCTCGAGACAAGCAAGTGATTTGGACAACATCCCATCATCAACTTCAGAACACTTGCATGAGTCCTCCTCTGGCCACCACATTGGAATGACAACATTCCTATAAACAATTTGAAAGTTAAGAATGAGACTATATCTGACATAGGTAGAATCTATATTTGTATGGTAGACAACAAGGAGACTATATATGACAGAACTGAACCAATTATTTTTTCCTAACTCTACGCAATTTACTAGAACAAGTTTACACCAAAATGCGATGGCTTCTTACCCCTGGACACATTTGTATTTGCACTGGTCTATTGTAAGAGTTGTATAGTTTCTATACACTATGTCAAGGCGTTTGGCTATACTGTAGATATCTGAATGAGGCAAAATAGCCCAGACCATGATAACCTGAATGCAGTGCAAGTTCTCCTGCATAACATCCACAGTCCAGAAAAGACTAAGCGACCCATTAACCTCATATTGCTCCAGAAGTTGGGAGGACAACCCCTTATATACAAACATTTTCTTCTTGTGATTCTCTCGCCAACCATTCAAGAGCTTCTGTAATATATAAAATACTTGTTCGCATGTCTCCCTGTTTCCAACTCTTCTCAAGGTGTACCAAAATTCATCACTGAAACGAACCTACAACAAAAGAACAACAATTTAATAAACAAAGACCAAGACAAAGGCAATTTGGTTGGATAACCATCATAGCAATGCAGGTCTTTTTACCAAAATACACCTATGTTGACATTCTTTCTACGTACTGAGCAACGTGGAAGGAATTTAAGACTGGGAATCCTAGATCTAAGTCAGCCAACAAATCAATTAAATATATATATATACACCCTCCATTGAAAATCACGTTTAGTTAAACTGTAACATGGCCATGAATAATGTAGTTATTCAGAAAACAATCTAAAAAGGTGTTTCACGATAATAGACATTACGGTCATAAATGCACAGCTGATCAGCATTGACAAATCAAATGATTCCCATCTTATTTGGTATTGCCATGAAGTTCTCTAATTTAATTGAAAATAGATATCCAAGCTCACTGCTCACCTTCCATATTGCATCGCTGAACAATGAAGAATGCACGTTCTGCAAATCATTGACTTCATTCAACTCAATTAGAGAATATAAAAGGGCCTTTGCCAAGCTTTTGTCTTCTTGAGCGTTATAAAAACAGCCGCGCTTTTTGGCATCTATGACCAATTTCTTCCAAACAGATTCACTGTTAAGTAACGTTGTTCCGCTCCCCAAGATCCAAAGGCAATGCCTACAGAGTAAAACAAGACAAAAGTGAAGCAGTTGGTAATTGCATAAACTGGTTGGTTGAGTGGTTGAAGTACCTGGCACGTGTCAATGCCACATTCACCCTCCGTGTGTCGGAAAGAAAACCAATAGAGCCCTTGTTATTGCACCTTACTGTTGACATGATTATCACATCTGCCTCGCCCCCTTGGAACCCATCAACTGAACCAACGTTCACTTCAAAGCCCCCATTCTGTGAAACTCCTATATGTCTCTTCACTTTTTCCTCAATGGCACATACTTGGGCCTTGTATGGCGATATAATACCCACCGTTATCTTTTTATTTGTCCTAACATATTCTTTAAATATCAAATGAAAGAACAAAGGTTGAGACAGCAAGAAATAACCGAGTCAGTGATCAAACCACACCATCTTGTATACGCAGGTTACATAATTAAGTATCCACACTTCATTCATGCTATAAACTATTTCACGTACCTTCATGAAGGAGTTTGACTATTTCCGACACGACGGAAGCCTCAATCATGTTTCTCTGACTATGATTGTCATCGAATTCCTCTTTTCCGAGCGGCATATTTATGAAAGAATATGAACTATACATCATCTGAGGAAACAAACTTATGCCGTAGACTGTCTCTTTCACATTCTGAGCATCCAAAATTTCACTATTATAAAACTCCGTATTAGGGAACAAACTAATTGATGGATGCATTCTGTGTTGCACATTTAGAAGGTGCTTCTGGAGGCCCAACTGTACCAATCTTTCGAACAGACTTCTCCCAAATTCAGCTTTTTCAGAAATCTATACAAGTTAAAGCTACTTGTGATAAATAACAATGATAAAAAAATATTTAAATAAAGTAAAATCGCAGCGTACTTTATAACATTTAAAACCTTGCTTTGAACCATTGCTGGAAGTTGCCTTTCATCTCCTATGAGAATTAAGTGGCGTACACCACGAAGCTGCAAAGGAATGGTTGCTTCACATTCTTTAAGCTGTGCCGCTTCATCAATAACCAATAACTCAATTGGAGACATTCCTTTTAAGTGCAACTTGGCTGAACTTGACACAGTACAAAAGATCAAGCATGCATTTGCCAAGCAGAAGTCTCTCAGTGTTCCTTCAACACAAAATTTCTTTGGAAGCAACTTTAGTACATTAAGGCACTCTTTTATAGCCAATCTCAGCCTTGAAAAGCATCCATCCCCCCCCTCATTATGTTTAAAACCATACAACTCTCGTTTTATCCCCTCATTCTGCGAGCTGAGAAGTGTTGTTGAGATAGAGTGAAGAAGATCGCATGCTCGCGACATGTTCATCGTATCTGTTTGTGAAATGAAAGAAGTTGGTAAATGCTTACATAGATTCATAAAACAAGAGATTAGCTGTTCACGTAAGCCATCAAATCTCTTATTCACGAACTCCTCAAATGTCCAAGGTGTTGCAATGTCCTGTTCATTCTTCATGTTTTTCTTTTCCTTTGTTTGATTCAAGTACTTAAGAAACTGCCTTCGTGGGTCCTTAAGCAAAAATATTATTGAAGCTAGGCTATGCTTCCATCCTTCCAAACATTTCCCGAGTGCACGAACACGATAGTCAAGAAAGACATCACGAAGTTCATTATGAGGGTCATCCATGTTCATTCGCTTTGCATTCCCAAATAACACAATATCTCCGAGGCCGTAAGAACCATATCCACCAGACTCATTTTTCCTCACTTGAACTAAAACACGCTTTGCAACCTCGAGCACAGCAACATTAGTGGGAGCACATGTCAAGGTTCTGCACTTCAATTTCAGAAGACACGACAGCATCAAGCTAACGGTTTTAGTCTTGCCAGTTCCAGGAGGTCCCCATATCAGTTTGACAGAGTTCTGATGATGGCATTCCCTTAAGCTAATACAACTTAGAACTGCATCTCTTTGTGAGTCATTCAAATCAGATCGAGATATTTTGCCTCTTATATCCGAGTTTGAACCATTGCAATTTTCCTTGCCAAGGCACTCAACACAAGCATCACAATCCTGCCAGTTATATATATATATATATATATATATATATGTCAGATGAAAATATTGCAACTGAGCAAGTAACTAAATCAGTGTGACCAATAAAAACACTCGACACATTTGCTTTTCATAGTTCCAAAGCCAATTGAAAGCACAAAGAAGAGTTCATTTTCTTACAGAGGAATGAACTTGAAGAACTTTATCTATGATCTTCATATTCCCTCCTTCCAGCTCACTGTTCAGTGATCTCCAGATTCGTATATTTGTGTTCAAGTTGGTAAGATAAACAACAAAACGAATTTCTTTGTTTTGGTCTAGAGTCGTGATTAGTTTAGATGATAAGATGGTGATACAGAAATTAGAAGCACGGTGAACGAAGGCGATGAGGCAGTGATTGTTCAAATCATTGATACACTTTGGCCGTACATTTGTCACAGCAATGAGGTCTCCAACTACAGGCTCATATGCAAGTCCTCGCTTTTTCAACACAGTAATTTGGTAGAAAAGGTCACTCGGAGATTGATGATTCTTTGTTTCTCTAATCCTGCTTATTTGACTTATTGGTGACTTTGACACTGTCCTTATGCTTGATAACAAATCAGCATGCGTTTCCTCAACAAGCGGTAAAATGAATGATCTCAAATAAATAGACGTCGACGAATATGTCTCTGGGATTTTCATCACCTATTAAGTAAACACTCAAAAGCCTTATGATAAGATCAAGTTTTTCCATGAATAATTATAAATCTTCCCACCTAATTACTAAATGAAGAAACTAAAGGATTGAAAACATAAATTTTAAAACATTAAAACATTTTTTTATTTGATACTTGGTATTTATAAAGTATTGTTTGGAAGATATAACAAGAAAAGTAAGGCAATTATTATTATGGACATCACGATTTGTGTTTGAGCAGATAGGCATCTATCTAAGTTAAAATATCATAATAAGAGTACAAAGCAGTTACTAAGAAAGATCGAAAAAAGATAGCAACAAAAAATATTCCCCCTCTATTCTGGTTTTAATATAATCCCTGTTCTTTGTTAAGCACAACCACAATTTTAGAACATTTGTAGTATGCCTATACACCATAAAAAGTTAAGCATCTCACAACCAACACATTCACAAGTCTAGCTACTTGTACAGTTTATGTGCATTGTGACTGACTAAAATGTAGTCACATGCATGCTATCAAATAGTATGGTTGTGAGATCGTTGCAATATATAGCTATATGTCACTAAAGGTACACTTGTATGTATCTAAAAATATTTCCAAAGCCTTGAGAAGAAAGTATTCAAGGGTGTCGTGATCGAACCTGATTTTGATAGAGATTTTCATTAAGAATATCAGAGATAGACCAAGAAAACACGTGGTCTAGTAATCCTCTACCTAGAACCTCTTCTTTTTTGTCATTTTTTCTCACCATCTTCCTTGTTTGCGACATGCCCAGTTGAGTTGAATCCTGCATATTTATCTATATTTTCCAGAAGCAGGGATCTCTCACAAATGCATTTAGTCAGTCTTCATTTGCATGGCTTCGTACTTCAGTTGCTAAACGTGCTTGTACTCACATTAGAAGATGAAGTGAAAGAAAAAAGAAAACAAACTTAGTAGTGAAGGAAATGCATTCATAAACTGTTCAGTTGACTAAAACATCTTCTTTCCATCTTGTTCTCTGACGTTACTTTTTCAATGAAAGGTACGTATAACATGCACATTTTGCGTTTCTTTTCCAAATTGAGCTGCTTGTTGCTAATTGCTAATGAGGAATTAAACGAAGCAGCTATGCCATTAATTTCATCTCGAAATGCCAAACGGTACATAATTTAATTTAATATAATATATTTTCCTGGTAATTGTAAGACCATATTCCCAAAATGACCGTTCATTTTACTCCAATGATCCTAATTCCTTGCTGCAGCTGTCCTGCAACGGCAGGTGAAGCATGCTATATAACATTAATCTATAGTGTTGACTTTCATCTGCACCATATCGCATTCTTCATCATACCCAAAATAAAAGTGGATAAGTTTTTTTTTTTCATTTATCATTTGAGCCAAATGAATAATTATTTAGTGTATGATTAGATAATAATTTTAAGTTAAGTTTAAGGAAATAATGTGTTCCAATACAAAAAAATAAAAAATTTGTAAATGTAATTTTTTTTTAACTCCAGTTGAGTTAACTCAATTAGTTTCAAAATACACCCTTAATCTCGTTTTTTTGGTGTACATTGACACGGCCAGGCACTTCTCAATTGCACAAAACTTTAAGATCATTTTTTTATAGAATTTTTAGAGTTGTTTTACAATTAAAGCAAGGTTTCCCTTTATTTATTTTGGATTAACAAGGCAATGATGTTTGAACATATATGAATGTTAGTGATATATAACACTTTATTTCTTTTTTTGGTAGAATATAACACTTTATTTCTGGCACTTCCTTTGTTATTAGTTGAAATTTATTAAAAATTATAAATCTTGTGAATTTCACAATTTATTTAATAAGTCTCTCTCCCTTTAATAGTAGGACCTATCAAATTTTGTAATTTTCAACTAATAATAGAGAGAACAATAAAAATAAAGTGTTAAAGAGTGTGCAGCTAAATACAAAATTTGATGTAAACTACTTAAACTCTATTATTAGACCGATTATAATGAGATTCATTTTTTTTTTTTTATCAAAGATGTAAAAAATTATATAAAAGATTAACTTCAATTATAACTTCTCTGTTCCATATAACAATCTTTTTAACTTATTATTTTTTTTAGAAGTTTAGTCATTTTAGTTTTTTTAAGTTATTTTTTAAAGTATAATTGTTTAGTATGAAAAATTCACTAAAGAAGATATAATTATTTTTCAATATCATAGCTTTTAATGTGAATAATCTGCTTGGTCTTAACCATAAGAGAGGGGTTATATAGTTGTATTTGGGTGTACTAATATATGATATTCTCTTGGGATATTTTCCAACAAACTTGAAATAATACTTTTGACCCTAACTACCAAACATATAATTATGATGCTAAATTATAGGGTTTTTATCTTGACTAAGTCAATTGGTAAGTGGTAATCACTAACCAATACAATGGTTTGCATATGTTTGATTAGAATAGTTTATTTTAATTGGCTTTGGGCCTACAAGGTAGTACAATAACTAAGAGGATGAATATATTTAATACATTATTATATTTTAAAAAAAAATGAATTTTAAACTTTTTGAGATGAAATGCTTTGTTTGAATGGAGAATTTATAAGGAATTTAAAATCTAAGCATTTGTGAAATCTCTTAAAATAGTAGAATTTAAAAATTCTCCAAAAATAAGAATTTAAAATTTTTCATATTTGGTTTTCTTATTTTACTTATGTATTTTATCTTATGTCTTATCTCTTCATCCTTTTTATTATTAAATATTCAAAAATATTTTTAAATTATTAAATATTATCTTATACTAATTTTTAAAATCATTAAATATTTTTAAATTGGTTAATATTTTTTTTATAAAATTTGATTTTAAAAACTCAATGAATAAATATTTTTTTAAAATTAATTTTACCATGGTGAAATCAAATTTCATATTCAAACTAAAAATTTAAAATTTTAAAAATTTGAAATTGACTTATCCAAACAAAATTTCAAAAATAATAGAAATTAAAATCAAAGTAATTCAAATACCAAAAAGTTTAAATTCCTTGAATTTATAAAATTCCTCATCCAAATACACCATAAAAAGTAATTGTAAATAAATATTTTATATTCTATTTTATATAACTAAGTTTTTAGAGTTAATGTATGACAGATTGAAACCGTAACAAAATGAATAATTTGCAGAATTTTTAGTTTTTTACTACTTTCATAAATTTAATTAAAAAATTGAAAAAGATAAAAGTTAATGACCATCTAAATTAATTGTTGTATTGACCAGAGACACCAACCATAAATTTCTTCTATACTCTTCAATAATTTCATATTATTATAATTCTAATCAACTCTACTCCCACTATTATTGTGGGTGTTTAAAAGTATGTGAAATATGTAAGGTAATTTATAATAAAATAGTTGAAACTAAGGGTATTTTAATCTAAATATATCAATTGAGTATTTTTTAATTTGTGCCATAGCCTTAAAATGATGGTGAGTCATGAAACTTAACTCATTTAAACTTTTTATAAATAAGAAAAAGTTAATAAATTTATGAATTTTTAATTAATAAAAAAATTGGATGTGTTAAAATTACACTCAAATAGGTTCAATGTTGTGATATTCTTTGATAAGCAAATCATGATGTTGACTTTAAATACTGTGTTCATATAAATATTATTTTTGAGGTTCCTCCTTATTTCATTCTTTTATCTCTTGGGAGGATCGATTTTGCCCAAATTGTTCTTCCCTAATTCTTTATGCGTACATACCCACATTACTCTCTTTCACTTTAAAGTATTTTAATAACATGTTTATTGTTATTCAAATTTTGAGTTCCAAGTATGAACATCATAGTTTTCATTCAAGATAAAATATACACTCTCATCTCTTAATATATAGTGGATGACATTTTATTCATTTTTTAGTTTGTTGTTAACTTTTCATTAAAAAAATATTATTTATACTATTATCTCTTTATAGATATAAGTGTTACTTTATTTTCTCTGTTAAAATGCATATTTTCCCCCTATAAGATAAAAAAAAATTTACTAAAAAAATAGTATATCTAAATTTACTTGTCATCATTTTTTTTATAAAAAAAATCAATATCAGTTATTTTAAATTGTATCCTTTTCAATTTCATTATATGTTATATTGGAGAAAATAAAGAAAAGAGATATAGAAATAGAGTAGGAAGGAATAGCTGCTAAGACGGACTTCGAAAGTGTAACTCTACCAGCAAAGGAGAGGTGTTTAGTCTTCCATTGATCTAGTCTACTATTCACCTTCTCCATTACTGATTCAAGTGTTCTTCTGCTAACACGTGAATGATGTAGCTGCACTCCTAGATACTTTCCTAGGTTATCCGTTCTTTTATATCCTAGGCTTGAGCTAATCTCGTTCTTTACAGTATGCCCTATATTTTTTGAGAAGTAGACCCTTGTCTTTTCTTGACTCACCTTCATTCCTGAGCTTTCACAAAACATATCCACGCAAGACTTCAAAATCTCCACTTGGTCCATTGATGCTTCGGCAAAAAGTATAAGGTCATCTGCAAATGCCAAACAAGATAACTCTGGTCCTTTTTTTGATAGTTTGATTGGACGCCATAATTTTTGTTTCACTACAACATTTATCAAATGAAAAAGTTCTATACATAAACAAATATATATGGAGATAAAGGGTCCCCTTGACGGATCCCTCTTGAAGGTTTAAAGGATTCCAGTGCTTCACCATTCCATAGCACCTGCATAGATGTTGTAGAATAGCAATATTGGACCAGTTCTGTAAACCTTTGAGGGAAGCCAATGTCGTCGAACGTTTCCTTAATGAATTTCCAACTCAATCTGTCATACACCTTAAAGTGCTCTTCACACCAAGGGATTGATCGTCGAAATGCCGACCTTAAAGTGCTCTTCACACCAAGGTTTGGGTCATTCAAATGTCGACCTTAAAGTGCTCTTCACACCAAGGGATTGATCATCGAAATGCCGACCTTAAAGTGCTCTTCACACCAAGGTTTGGGTCATTCAAATGTCGACCTTAAAGTGCTCTTCGCACCAAGGTTCGTGCCGACCTTAAAGTGCTTTTCGCACCAAGGTCGCCGGAATCTAATAGGCAGCCAGAAACACCGAAATCGCCGAGTTTAACGGTGCCGCGCGAATCAATGAGAATGTTACCGGCTTTGACGTCACGGTGGATGTGTCCGTGATGGTGAAGATACTCCAAACCCTTCAATACCTCTTTGAGAATGGTTGCAATGACAACCTCTTCAAAACCATCGGGATGCGCGGCTTTCAATATGTGGAGGCATGAACCGCCGGCCATGAACGGCATAACCACCCAAAGATTGTGCTCGGCGACGAAGGAGCAGTGCGATTTGAGGACGTTAGGGTGATCGACGAGGATCATGGTCTGGGCCTCACGAGAAACGTTGTTGAGATCGCGATTGTCACGTTCGAAGTCGAGGATTTTGATGGCGACGACCTCGTTGAAGGGAACGCATAGCGCCCGGTGCACGGAAGCGCTTACGCCTTGGCCAATCTCCTCGTAGAGAAGGTAATGCTCGGCGCCGATAGGGTACTTCTTCTTCTCTGTCTCTTTTTCTTTGTCCTTGTCCCTCATGGTGGATCCGATTGGAAGGAAAACAGTAAGAGTGAGTGATTTTGAATCAAAGAAAGAGAGTGAGGTGAGGTGAGGTGAGGTCACGTGAAGATGGGTTCCGTTGCGCAGCTTTCTCGTGAAACCACTGGGCTTTTTTTTTTTTTTGTGAATCAGTTTCTTTGTTGCGGCCTTATCGGATGGCCAGTGTTTGGGTTTGGAAATCTCTCCGCCCGCCACCTCTCGTTCTCTCTTCAAGGGGCACACCCCTTGATTGCATCTTCCTTACAAATTAAAACCAACAAAACAAAATAACATAAAATCAAATCAAATCAAATCTTCTATGGCAACCAACCACCCCGTTGTAAGATCCAATTTTGGATGCAAATAAAGTCAACACCGAACACAAAGGGGTGGAATTTACCACATGGTCATCAAAACCTCAGAAAATCTCGTGACACAACGTGAATCACCCCGAGATCTAACAGGGCTTCCAAATCAATTTTTGAACATGTGATGTCGGGAATAACATGAATATAGCACATGGGTATTAACAAAACAGTGACTTTCTCAAGAACACAAGCAAAAGGTGGGATTTTTCTTTTTTGATCTTACCAAACCAAAGATGAAAGTGGTGGTGCAGCGTCAGTGAATAGTCAGAAGAAGAAAAGGTGTATCATATTGACACATGGTATTGACCAGTAAGCGTGGATTATGGAGATAGTTGGCGATGATGAATGAATGAGTGAATCTGGATATG